TCCACACTTGCTGTCGATGGGTATATTTTTAGGCTAGATTTGTTTTCTCTTGATATAAATCTATTTTGAGCAATTAATTAGACGCTGGTTTCGGAAAACAATTTTCCTGTTTAATGAATTAAAAACAATTTCAAAATATGGTCTTCTGACTTAGTAAGACATATTCATATAATAAAAAGGATAATTGGATTGTTAGATAGTTTCTGTAACAGTGAATGCCCAAGCAATAACAAATAAGATAAACACCTATGGGAGAAAAAGACTGTAGCTAGTCATACAGATTACCGTATTTTTTTTACAGTAAGGCTCACCATTTAAAAGGACCGAGAGCCACTCAAAGTAGAGTGTCATGTTAAGGGGATGTTTATGCGAATACAAGGGAAAGATAAAGGTTAACTCTAGACTTGAACAGGTTAAAATTGTATTGATCGGGGAAATATCCTCGTGGGAGTCTGTTCCACAGAGTAGTGGTTCACAGGAAGAAGCTGTTTGGGTGGAGCTTATTTCTCACCGATGAAATTACGGAGGGAATGTGGGTGGTCTTTCTTTCCAAATTGTTGAAAATCATCCTTTGTAGTTCCTAACTTTAAGAATTATGGGAAACATATAATCCCTAAAATAATCGATCCATCAGTCTCTTACCTCTTTTCCGCAAAGTGAGTCGAGGCCTAAATCAATGCCGAAACGCACAACGCCATTTCGAAAGAATGGAGCAAAGTCTAACGCCGACATGTTATTTTGATGAATATTAGAGCTAAATGTCTCAAATTTTGACGTTTCAAAGTCTTATTTCAGAGAACAATGGAAGTAAAATTTTGTTTGATCGTTTAAAACCAGGTCATCCCTAAGTTCTGGATTTTAACTTTTACTTAAAATGAATTATTTGAGTATTTTATAATGCTTTATGAGTTCATTAATGAAAGGAAACTCAAAGCAAAGCTTATTTCAGAAACAATAAAAGTAAAACATTAAACCCAGTTTATGGAGTACCCAGGAATTATTTGAGGCACATAATGAAAGAACTTCAGCAGCCGAAGCGGCAGAAGATGTTTTGGAAAATTGAATGAGGTGGATGATTTCAAAATTCAGTGGTGGAATTTCATTGAAGATCGAACCGGACGTCCAGTTGAGTTTGATGAAAAGCCTCTTGAAGCAACCCTTGAAGAAAATGCTGCTTCGTCAGTTGAGGAATTGGTAGGGGTTCTCAGTTCAAACCATACAAACGTTCATCGTCATCTTCAACAACATGGAAAAGTTCCTAAACTTGGAAAATGTGTGCCTCATGAATTGTTTGAAAACAACCTCAAACCCAAGTTGACATCTGCTTTTCTCTCCATTTTGCCAAATTGTTTCACCTTATTTGGATAGACGTGTGACTGGCGACGTAAAAAAGATCTTTTATAGAAATGTTAAGCATCGTAGACAATGGCTTGTTAAAGGGGAAGGACCCCAGGCGCAGCCGAGAAGGGAACTTCATGGGCAAAATGTTCTTCTTTCAATCTGGTGGGATCGCCAAGGAATAATCCACATTGAATTCTTACCACCTAATGCAACAATTAATGCTCAAATATACTGTCAGCGTTTGAACCAAGCTTTGAGGATAAAAAGACCTACTCTAGTGAATCGAAAGAGGTGATGTTTCATCAGGACAATGCGCGACCCCACACAGCAAGTATCACGGCACAAAAGATCGCAGAACTTGGTTGGGAGAAATTTCCTCATCCACCTTATTCTCCCGATCTTGCTCCTTCAGACTATCATTTGTTTTTTAGCGTACAGAATCATTTGGAAGAAAAATCTGTTGTAACACAGGAAGAGGGTAAAACTGACATTTGTGACTTCTTCGAATAAAAACCAAAAGAATTTTACAGTAATGGAATTAGTAAGCTTGTTAATAGATGGAAGGAAGTCATAGATAATCAGGAAAATACATTGTTGATTGAATCTGTAATTAAATGTAACATTTGGTCACTTGTTTTCTTTATTCAAAATTCGAACAGAACTTATGGGATGACCTGACAGATCGTGTAGAACGGGTATGGTTCCAGATTTTTTCATACTAACGCGGACGCGTCCCCAGAACCCTGTGCTTGGAACTACGTTGTTTCTGTTCTTCATTAATGAACTCCCCGATATCAATGTTTCTCAACTAGTGATTTATGCAAATGAAAAAAAAGACTATTTATTCATGTAAGGAAATACGAAAGACCTGAAAAAGTAAACCGGGCACCTAGTCTTGAAAATGTTGGTAATTGGTGTATGAAATGGCTTACTTTCGCTTAATCTCCAGAGAGTAAACTTTATCTGCTTGACATCTGCATGGTTAAACTTAAATTCCAGGAAAATAACACTCTATGGCTTGGTCTCACGTTTCCACGAACATTAATTGAGGCGACTATATCGAATCAATTTCTTTATCTATGGCAAGGAAAGTTGGGTTACTCCCCGTGCATTGAATACTGTTGCCATATTTGTCTTGTTGCCCCTTGCTGTACATCTC